CACGAGACGCCCAAAACTCCCGGAGGATTGGCGGTGGTGCCTTGGCAGCGTGGGGGGACCGTGGGATATTCCCCGGGCGTTTCCCAAGCCGCTCTCCCTGACGTCCCGCGCCCTCCCTGCCCGCAGGTGGAGTACTACAACCCGCACACCTCGTCCTGGCACGCCGTGTCCAACATGCTCAACAAGCGGTGCCGCCACGGCGCGGCCGCGCTCGGCAGCCGCATGTTCGTGTGCGGCGGCTACGACGGCTCGGCCTTCCTGAGCGCGGCCGAGGTGTACAGCTCCGGGGCCGACCAGTGGTACCTGCTGGTGCCCATGAACAGCCGGCGCAGCCGCGTGTCCCTCGTGCCCAACTGCGGCCGCCTCTACGCCGTGGGCGGCTACGACGGACAGTCCAACCTCAGCTCCGTGGAGATGTACGACCCCGAGAGCAACCGCTGGACGTTCATGGCGCCCATGGTGTGCCACGAGGGCGGGGTGGGCGTGGGCTGCGTCCCCCTCCTCACCATCTGAGCTCCGGAAGGTTCCGGGGGGACTTTGGGAGGGGGGGGGTGTTTGGTCTTCAGCGAGAGGTTCAGAGCGTGCCGGGATTTCCAGGCGCTCGGCGCGAGCGCGGAAAGACTCGATGGAACGATGCCCACGGGGAGGTTTTTGGGGTGAAGGTCCTGGAAGATCAAATGTGAGTTTACGTGTGGGGAAGGACCCCTCGGCCTCTCCCGGAGCAGTGGCCAAGCGGATCCATCTCGCTGTCCATTTCCCTTTGGGAAGCACTGCCATGGGCCGGGGGACAGGGGGACAGGCTTCATTCTGACATTAAAACAGCCACTTTAATGACTTTGGAAAATCCATCTGCACCTTCTGGGAGCACCAAACCCACCTGAACCCCCCGAGGGGCGTCGTGGTCACACAGGGGGGTCTCAGAAGAGAACAAACCCAGCGCTGTCGGTTCCAGGTGCTTCTTACACAAGACCCTCCCAGCTCCTCGTGCTTTCCTCAGCTCGATGTGGAAAACTTCTCCACAGGAGCCACAGGATGGGGAAACCAGGAAGAGGAACAGGTCGGTTAAACCAGCGGATCGTTTTGGAGAGGGATGGATGTGAACGACTCCAACAGCCTGAGGGTTTCAAAATGGGAAATACGTGATCAAGATGTCCTTTAAATTGAATGCTGAGATGTTTTCCAAGACCAAGAGGCAGCTTGGAGAGGAACAGCCAGGATTTTTTTTTTAGGAGAGGCAAGAAAGAAACGTCGTGAATTTGTCGTGCTCCACTGGGAAAGGTCTTTTCTGCGGTGGGTTTTGTGCCAGGAAACTTTGGAATGCTGGCAGAGCCAAAGAGCTGCCCGTCAGCAGCTTCCCTGCATCAGCCCTTCTCCTGCATGACCGTGATCCGCCGTCCCTCCGGAGCGCTCCGTGCCCGGCTCTTCCCGTGCCAGCCCTCGGCACAGCCATACCTCCTCCGGGCAGGAATGTGACACTAATCCCAGCAGCCAAGGGATGGGGGGCTCCCCCCTCGTCCTGCCCCATCCCAGCGTTCCGGGGGGCTCGGAGCGGGATGTCCACCCCCACCCCCTGCCCCTGCTCATTCCTGACTCCCGGCGTCCCTCGGGATCGCTCTGGGTGTACATGTCATGTCTATATTGGGGTACTGTGTATATTTTGGGGTCTATAATGAGCATATCTGGCTATAAATGTGATCTATCAGTACAGATCCATTGCTTCCATCTACTGTCCACTGCCGGCTTCCCGGGAGTGGGAATTCCTTTGGGCTTTCCATGCTGCTCACGCTTTAGAAAGGGAAAAACCCACCCAAGAATGTTGGGATCGGAACACAGTTGTTGCTCATGGCACCTCCTCCAGGACTCATCCCGATGTTCTCCATGTGCAGAGGAGGCTCTGATGAGCCACTCTCCTGGTGTTCCATCATCCCTTCTCCCTCCCACATCTCCCACCTGGGATTTGTGTCCATAAGAATGGGAATACTGGATCAAATACCCTTGGAAGAGCAGCAGCTCGGGGCTCTCCATGTCCCAGGGGATTCCAGGGTGCTGCTCCCAGGCACGGTGATCCCGAGGGATTCTGGTGTTCCCCAGCCGCTCTCCCTGGGATTCCTTCCCCAGGGATTCCTTTGCTTTTCC